GGGGTGGGGAGGCCTGAGCGGGATGGAGCCTCAGAAGCCAGGTCACAGGCCCTCTGGATCTCCAATGAGCAGGCCTGAGAGCCCAGAGGGCCAGAGAGAGAAGAGCGGCTTTGTGACGGTCCCGCAGCAACTGCCCAGTGTCTGTGGTCCCCTTAGGTCCCTCTTGGGGTGCTGAGCTCAGGCCCTTCAGACCCTAAGGGCTCACTCAGGGGCCCCCTCACCCAAGACAGGTCAGGGCCCCTGGGCCACAGCTGTTGCTCTCTCGATAAGCAGGGATGAGTCACTGACAGCTGAAAGCAAATTAATTTGGAGGGTGACAGGTGGGATAGCAAGGAGCTGCAAAGCCCAGAGGTGGATTTCAGGGCCTGGGGAGTCTCAGGGGAGCGAGGTGTTTACGTGGGGATCAAGTGTCCAGCAGACCCTGGGTCAGCCCTCCCCCACTGCCACACCTCTGTGGGTCTACGACACACCCCTCGCTGTGGGTCTAAAGCAGCCCCACCTGGCTGGAGGGCCCCGAGCAGCCCCGTGACCTCTCTGAACTCAGGGTTCTCAACCACTAAGTTGGGGAGCTGAGTCCTGCCCTCCATCCCGGGGTTGGCTGGCCTCATGCCCGCACCTTGTGCCCACCGCGGTGGAGTGTGAGACAGACACAGATGCCAGGCCCAGCCTCCCCTCTTCGCGGCTAGCGGCCAGGGGGAAGCTTCCTAGCCTGTCAGCCCGGAGGCCTAAGTTCTATGAGGTCGTCTATGAGGACCCTGGGGTGTCGTGAGAATCCACAGGCTGAGCAGAGTGCCCAGCAGGGAACAGAGCTGGCCTGTGGCAAACGGTGGCTGTGCCCATGAAAGGTACTGTCACTACTGTGGTCATGGTCACTGTCATTCCCCACCCCCCAAAGCCCCAGGTCTCCCCGCCCTGCCCCACCTCCCCGGCTCCCCAGCACTCACTTGTAGTGTTATAGCGGACGCCGTAGAAATAGGCAGGGCAGGGTCGTACCACCAGCTGCCCCGCGGGGCTCCGGGGCCAGCATGTGCCAATGAGGTCCACGGATGCGTTGCACTGCAGTCCTAGGGGCAGAGATGGCCCGTGAGGCAGGGCCAGACCCCGCTCCAGTGCCTAACCACCTCCCCAGGGCCCACTCACAGGCCCACTGGGGACCGGTCAGGAGCAGTGACCAGGCACAGATGAGCTCATCCTGCGGAGAAGACAGAGCGCCTCGTGCTGTGGCACTGGGGAGCCCGTGTGGGCTCCTTCCGGAGCAGAGAGTAACAGTTGACGCTGGTATAAAAGCTGAGGTCCTGAGTGGCATTTGGAGGAAGGCCGGACACGGTCAAGCCCGAGGACATTTCACTCGGTGTGGATTGAGACGTCACGGCCTGGACGGCCCGGACTAGTCCTAGGCAAGCCTGCCCCTGTCCCTCCAGGAGTCCCTGCCCCAAACCACAACTGCTCTGGCCCTGCAGGAGCCAAATGAACTTGCTCCAGCGTCCAGCTGGCCTGGCAACAGCACTGACCGAACCTACCCTGTTTGTACTGGACCCTAGGAAAGGAGCACAGAGAAGGGGACCGTGGGAGAAAAGCCACCACCTGCGCAAGCGAAAAGGACGTGGGACCCGAAGTCTGGAACTCAGACTTGGGCTCAGATTGGGCTCTGCTACTAATTTGCTGTGTGATTATGAGCAAATCACTTGCCTCCGCTGTGCTTCTGTAGCCCTCTCCATAATGAAATGAAACAATGCGCCCTGGTGGCCCAGCGGGTGAAAGCACAGCGCTACGGAGGGAGAGAGCTGCAGCTGCTTTAGCACAGGTGCGATCCCCGGCCAGGGAGTGACCCACATGGCATGCAGGCCCCTCCTGACCTGCCCGCTGCTCCCCTCCGGAGAATGTTTCAGTCATTCTGCCTGCTCTGCTCCCCACTCTGTCTCTGGTGAAGCCTCTCACCGCCCCCGCACCTCTGGCCTGTACCCAGTTCTGTATGCAGAAATAAATAAATCTTAAAAAAAAAAGAAAGAATGCAAGATTAAAAATTGTTCATCTCAGTCCACTAGATGCTTTAAGGATTTATAAAGACACTGGAATTAAATGAAAAAATTTGGGGGGATCTATACATATATTTTAAAATTAGCAGAGGAGCCCACCATTTTCCTTAGGTTCTCAAAGGGGTTTGTGACTCAAAAAAGGGTGGAAACCACTGAACTAGAAAGAAAATGTCAAATCCCCTTCCAAATCTTTGTTCTTAAAGAGCGCCTTAGCGTGCAGTTGTGTGTGTGTGTGTGTGTGTTTGGGTGTTTGTGTGTGTGTGTTTGGGTATTTGTGTGTGTGTTTGTGTGTGTGTTTGGGTGTTTTTATGTGTGTGTTTGGGTGTTTGTGTGTGTGTGTTTGGGTGTGTGTTTGGGTGTGTGCATGTGTGTGTGTTTGGGTGTTTTTGTGTGTGTGGGTTTGGGTGTGTGTGTGGGGGTGTTTGTGTGTGTGTGTGTTTGGGTGTTTGTGTGTGTGCATGTGTGCATGTGTGTTTGGGTGTTTGTGTGCATGTGTGTTTGGGTGTGTGTTGTGTGTGTGTGTGTGTGCGCAAGCACTCGCACGCAGCATGGGCAGCAGAGTGAACACACCTCAGGAGGGGAGGGAGGGGCAGTTTTGGTCTCCACAGAGTGGGGAGACCTGGCACTTTCCTGGCTCTCCTCGACGCCCCACTGTTGAGAGCCCACGGTGGAGGGAGAGGGTTAATCACTGCGGCTGGTGCAGGATGCAGAGACAGCCGGGAGAACCATGAGGCAGTGGGGGTGGGGGCTCCAGCGCCTGCCGAGCCCGGCTGGGGCCTGGCCTTGTTCTCCCCAGATTAGCCGGTCCCCAGTCTGTCCAGAAACAGTGCTGGGGTAAACCGGCTTCCTTTCCCTGCTAGGGGCAGGGCAGCCCTGAGCTCTGACCAAATGCTGGTTTTTCTTTCTAATCAAAGCTACTCATGGGTCATTTGTGCAAATCAGGGCTCAAGGGGCAGAGAGACCTTGATGCCGAGTGGTTTAAATGAAAGAGAAAGGAATCTGGACCGGCCTTAACGGACAGGAGGAGGTGCCGGGCCAGGCGGCGGGGGTGGGCCAGGTCCGGGCCTGGGTCCCGGGGTCTCTGTGCACGGCGTCACGGGATGGTGCTGGGCGGGGGCTGGGGGAGGCACGCGTGGCTAGGGCGGCCAGGTGAGACTCCTGCCCCTGGGAGCGCTGAGCTGGGGCATGACGGTCGTGCTGCTTCTGCAGAGCCCGCCTGCACGCGTGTCACTGGTCCTCCTCCAGCCTGCAGAGCCACCGGCCCCTTTACAGATGAGGAAATGAGGCCCAGGGGCGGTAAGTGACACGCCCCTGTCATGACCCAGGGAGCGGAGGAAGCAAGACTCACAGCCAAGGGCTTTGGACTCCAAGTTGAGAGCTCTTTCTACTAGACCACACTTCTCGCCAACAGAGGCAGGGGTCGCCGAAGGCAGCCAAGGAACAGCGTTTCCTGAGGACGGTCAGGCACGTGCCGGGTGCTAACATATCACGTCTCATTTAGCGGCATCTGGAGGTCACTCGCTCGCTGGCTGGCCCTCGGCCTCTCCGAGCAGCGCTGGGACACCAGATGGGGTGCCATGTGTGCCTTCCTCTCGGTCCATGCGGCAACAGCTGTCCTTCTTACCCTCTCCCGGTCTCCGCCCTGGACAGTTCTCCACCGCCGGCTCAGCTGAGCACAGAGGCAAGACAGGACCTGGCCCAGGCACCCGGACCAGGCCGGAGCCCTGACCCGCCCACAGGGCCGGGACCCCGGGCACTACTGTGGGTCTCACGCCACCTGCGAACATGGGAGCGAGTTCTCTGTTTCACGGATAGGGAATCCGGGGCCCAAACAGCCACGCTGTTAACCTAACTTCTCACGGACAGAGAGAGGCAGAGCGGGTTTTGAATGCTCATCAAGGCTCTGCCCGGAGAATTCTGGAGGAACGCAAATCGGGATGAGAGGGAGGGAGGCCAGCAGCCAGAATGACGGGCGGTCAGGAGGTCATCCTTCCCTCCTCAGGCGGGAAAAATGGCCCCAGGGGCCCTCCCTGGTGGCGCAAGGGGGTAAAGCACAGCCGCTTCAGCGAAAGTTCAATCCCCACCCCACCAGGGAGTGGCCCACAGCGCACAGCAGACCTCTCCTGTCTCCAGCGCATTTCGGTCCATCTGCTTGTTCTCGCTCTGCCTCTGGTGGACCCTCTCACCCCCTGCACCTCTGACCTGCACCCCAGATCTGTATGCATAAATAAATATATTTTAAAAAATGGCCATAGGTCAGTCCAGGGCTTGGGGAGCCTGGTGGGCGGGGCGAGGGGGGTCAGAAAGGGGCGCGGCCAGCGGCGGTGGGGGGCGGGGTCAGTCAGCAGCTGTGGCTCCGACAAGAAACAAGGCCTGGCATGGGGATTACAATTGAGATGAAAAAAAAAAAGGTACAAAATGATGTAAAAATAAACTATTATATTAGAAATAATAATAATATAATAAAATAAAAAAAGAAACGAGGCCTGGAAGTTCAGTAGTGGGACGGTCATGAGGTTTTAGGGGGCGCTCAGGGGAGGAAAAGACAGGGCGGGAATGAGGAGCAATGGAAGGGCCGTGGACGCAGGGAGGGCGGCCGCGCTTGCGGGCGGGGGACACGGCGCCCGGACCCCTCTGCCACCCTGCCTCGAGCCCCCGCGCTTCCGGCAGCGTGTCCGCAGCAGGAAGCGCCAGGGCAGGATGTCAGCGCTCGTGCCAGGACACCTGTCTCTGGGGAGCTGGCAGACTCGGAGGCGGCGCCTCCTACCCGGAGGGTCTATACAGGACTGGCGAGGGGAGGGCGGGAAGCCAACGTTTGGCAGACGCTGCTTATCCCGGCAACCGGAGGGCCCTGTGCGTTACATATTCCGACCACTCAATCCACTCAGCCACTCTTCCAGAAGAAAACAGGGGGGCTGGGACGGCAGGGAGCCAAGTGTTCAAGAAGGAGAGGGACTAGAAGGAAGTAAGGCACTGAGAATACAAAGGAAGAAGCAGAAAAGGCCACGAGGGACTAGAAGGAAGTAAGGCACTGAGAATACAAAGGAAGAAGCAGAAAAGGCCACGAGAGAGGTACACAGAAAAATCATTTCCGAGGCGAGGGCGTGGGGAGGAGTGTCCATGCCGCTCCGCCTGGGGCTGCAAGGACCTGCGGTCAGTGCCCTCGGACAGGGCGCTTGGCCTCTTCTGCTGTCCTGGGCATTTTTTCCCCCCCGATCTGGGCATCCTAGTTTGTGGGGAGGAGGGGCTGGGACCAGAGGAAGTTAGGGTTGCAACTAGCCAGACAGACTCAGCAGGCACAGCACAAAGCCTGGCTGTAAGAGCCGCTGCCCCGCCCCCCCCCCGCAGCTCCGGGTCCACTAAATAACAGGTGCGGAGAGTCATGACTGTGCTCTTTACTCAACAGGGTTATACCAACCACCTAAGAAGTTTTCTGGGAGTTGGGGGTGCGCTGGGATACAGTAAGGACAGTAAGGAATAAAATAAATGTCCTGCCCTTGGTGGGGCAGAGGAACGGTAAACAAAGAGACAGAGATATCCATTAAGCTGCGAGAAATACTGTGGAGAAAAAGTGAGGAGCACAGACAGATGCGAGAGCCTCTTTAATCTGGCGGTCTCTGAAGACTAAGCTGCCAGCAGGGACCCCACAGGGGAGGGAGGGGCATGTGGATGGGGGGGGGAGAGCTCAGGCAGAGGGACCACAGGTGCAAGGGCGGGAGGCAGGTGTGTGCTCCGTGCAGAGACCTCTATGGCTCGGTGGCACGCCTGTCATGGAGCCGCTAGGCTCCTCAGGGTCTTTGCGGGGGGTTGGGGGGAGTCAAATGGGTTGGGTAATGCACTAAACTGGTCCTGCATCGTCCTCCAACCCACATGCAAAGCAGATGTGCAGAACCCACACTAGGAGGGCTCGTGGGAGCACTGTGGGCAGGCTGCCCAAAGCTTGAGGATCGGGGAGTGGCCTAGAGGGCTCCTGCTGGCCTCGGGTGGGGGGCAGCGCCTGCTGATTGGGGGCCCTGTTTCGACAACAGATAAGAACCCTTTGAAGGTGGCCTGTTTAATGCTTGTGTGCCACTGGGCCCTGGTTTCTTCCCCATTTCCCCAAGTGGATGCTCTTCTGGTTCAGTTCAGGGCCCAAAAGCACACGGCAGTCCTCTGTGGTGGATGATTTCGGAGGGAAACTGGAGGCTGGCTCCTGTTCCGGTTACCTGCGTCTCGCATCGGGGCTGCTGAGTGAACGGAGTAGGTGGGCTCCCGGCAGCAGCCCTGCGCCTGGGAAGCCGGGCCCTTCTTTGGTGTAAGCCCGGGGAGGCGACGGCCAAGGCTGCCCAGAGCAGGAGCAGCCAGGTGGGCGGTGCCCGAAACACACATGCTTGCTCACGCAGAGGAAGGGGCTGCTGGCGTGAATGGGCAGAGCCAAGGACAGGGAAGCTGAGGGCAGGCAAAGGCCTGCTCTTTGGGCCGTTACTTTGTGGCTGAGCTGCCTCTTTGGGTAGAAAAGAAAAATGCCTTTGTAGGGTGTGATTCATTGGAACCAGTGGCCGGGGCCTGTCCTGGGGCCTGCGGCTCTTACTACTGCAATCCCAACCTCCAGGGCCAGGCGCAGAGCAGGTGCTGAGGAAAATCGGGGGCTGCGTACAAGCCCAACTGGAGCAGAGGAAACTGCAGCGGAAGCTCTGCACCCCAGATGAGTGACCACACTGGGCCCTGGCCCCCGGTGGCTCTGACTGGCCACGGAAGTGGTGGGAAAGGCTGGAGTCAGGTCCAAATCTTGGGGCTGCTGCCTAGTAACTGTGTGTGCTCAGGCAAGTTCCTTAACCTCTCTGATCTTTCCTTTGGCTTCTATAAATAGTTTGTGACAATATTGTTTTGATGACTGAATGATTGTGATACTAAAGATGGGGTCTGAGACACAGTGGGCGCTAAAGAAATGCCAGCTATCACTAATTACCCAAGGGGATGGCAACTGAGATGGAAAAATTGAATTCTGTCATATGACAACTGACATAGGAGAATTGTCATTTTGTCAGCGTTATCTCGTTACATTCATGCCGTGATTTTATGAGTTGCCAAGTCTGTGACCTGCCACATGATGGAGCCGAGACCCTGGAGACGCGCCCTCATCCTGCTCCTGGCTCCTGGCACCTGGCATGAGAGAGGCGCCCAAAGGCTCCGGCTCAGTGCCAGCCACCCCGGCCAGACACCCATCCCGCTGCCCCGGTCTCCACCCGGCCTCGCCATCTGTCTCCGCCAGCACCGAGTGGTCTTGTCAGAAGCAAATCGCCCGAAACCAGAGGCTGCCATGGGGGCTGATGGATGGTGCGCCACGAAGTCAGGCAGCTGGGCCAGATTGGGGTAGGGGAACGAACCCCATGCATCATGACCTGTTGCCTCCAAGGGCAGGTGATACCTGCAGGCTTAGGGAGGTCACTCCTCCCAAGCACAGACGGCAAGTTGACGGAGCCTCACCTGGCCCAGGCGGGGCCCTTCCTCACGGGCCCAGCCTCTGAGCAGGACTTCTGGCTCCCAAGCTCTCTCTGCTAGAACTCCAGACTTGCTCAAGGACATCCCAGGCCCCAGGACCCAGCTTGGCCAACTTTGCAGCCGCTGTATCCTCCAGGCCAGCGCCCACTGTACCGTCAGGCTCTGCACCTCCCGTCTCACCCCTTCGCTGCCCTCCATCTGCTGGTCCTCTGGCTTTGGCTCTTCCCTCCCATCCACAATCAGAGGCACAGCTCGAAATCTGCTCTTTCGGGAATGGCTTCCTGCCTCCACACTCCCCGCCACTTCCGTTGTACCGAGCAACTCCTGGCAAGTGGCTTCCCCTCCTCCAGTTCTCTGAAAGCATGTTTAAAGCCTGCTGAGGTTAACGGCAGTGATACACAACTCCCAGCAGGGGTATTGATGCGGTAGCTTGAGAAACTTTGCTGCAAAACTTAGTGCATTTAATCATAACATTCTTGAGACAGGTGTCATCCTCACTCCACCCCAGCTTTACAAGTGGGCAAACTGAGGCTCATGGGGTCAATGGCATGTTCATCCCTGTGCCAGGACAAACGGGCATCGCTGTGAGGTGGGAACCCAGTTGGCCTTCTCCAAGCCCAGGGTCCTGTCCACTGCCTGCACCCCCCACCCCACTGAAGGGGCAGCAGGCCTGATGGCAGCTGCTCTGAGTGAAGCAGCCTCTCCCCAGGCCCAGCTCAGAGGCTGGGTGGGCCTCTGCCTTCCTGTGGTGCACCGTGTCTCCACCTGCCAGCTCTGACTCACAAAATATGTGAACCCCTACTGACCCCCACGCCCCTGCCTTGTGTGGAACCAGCACGCAGAAGCCAGGGCGCATGCGCTCGTTAGTTCTCTGTGCCTCAGTGTCCTTGTATGCAAAGTGAGGGCAAAGTACCTATCAGAATGCCATGGTGAAGGCTGGGTTAACATGGTCCACGTTTTCCGAGAGTGCCTGGCCCGGAGTTGGCATAACCAGCGAGGCTGAGGCTCGGTGAACAGCAGGGAAGGCCCTTGCTTCCTTGCTGACACCCTGAGCCCCAGCCAGGCTCTGTCCCATGATGCCCCCACGGAGGGGGGAGGATAGCTGCGTGGCAAGCACACAGACCCCCCCCCCCATCACAACTCCTTCCCAGCCTCACACACACCCTCAAGAGCTTCCTGGCACTTCAAGGAGATTTGGTGACTCACTGGAGACCTGGAGACGAAACCTGGGACTCCTGCCTGGTCACGGCTCTGGTGGACCCAGGAGACATGGGGGTGGGAATCCCGGCGAGGGAGGGGTGGAAGCACTCACCGGAGAAGTTGCTGGCCAGGGACAGGCTCTCGCAGTGCTGGTCCTGGAGGGAGGCAGAGACGGGGTTCAGCCCCAGGAGGAGGAGGGCCTGTGGGCACATGCGGGGGACACAGTTAGCTGTCCTGTGCGGTCTGGCTGCCGCCTCCCGCCTCCCTGCTCTTCTCTTCACACCTCTCTTCCCAGACACCCCTTCCAGCCTCCCTGCCTCCTGCCCCCACCCCGTGTGCCCTTGGCCTGGAACTGCCCAGGCTGGGGGCAGCAGGAGCTCAGTTTCCAGGAGCAGAGCTGACTGCTCTCCCTGGGCTGGGTGCTGCTTGCGACGACGCCCCCAGCCTGTGGGACCGCGAGCATGGCTGGGCCGTGTCCCACCAGACACACCCCCCGACACACCCTGCACGCACACTCGCTCACACACTCGTTCTCACACGCCTTCCCACGCTCTCACACTCAGACGGCGCGGGACTGTCCTTCCGCCTGCCCTGGCGCCGGGGGCTCACCGGCCCTCAGGAGCACACTCGCCGCCCTCCCTCCTGCCGGAAGGCGCTGGTGGCCTCTTCTTGGATGAGCTGCTTCTATTACCAGTCACTACACATCCGCTTCAGAGCTTATCAAGCGCTTTCCATCGCGATGGCACTTAACTCTCACCTCGGGCTGGTCGGCTGTCCCCATGCAGACGAGGAAACCCAGGCCCAGAGAGGGGTGTTGAGCGTGGCTGGGAGACGACTGCTTACTCCAGAGAGGACTTCTGCCCCCTCCCTCCTTCCCCGCCCCCCTGTCATCCTGATTCCAGAGCTTCAGCCCACTGGGGGGGAGAATGATGTGGGCCCACACCTGGGCCCTGACCTTTCGTCAAGTAAGGTCCCCATCATCCTTGTGTCCCCTCTTGTGAGGCCACTACCTTCCCCATGAATTTATTTATTTTTTAAGATTTATTTTTATTTATTTATGCATACAAGGGCTGGGGTGTAAGCCAAAGGTGGGAGGAGGTGAGAGGATTCACCAGAGACAGAGTGGGGAGCAGAACTGTCAGACTGACTGAAACCCACTGTTGAGGGGAGCAGCGGGAGGGACAGGAGAGGTCTGCTGTGCCATGGGGTCACCTCTGGGGTCAGGCTCAAACTCAGTCGGCTGTGGTGATAGCGCTGAGACTTAACCCCTCACTACCCTCCGTGGAGAGGCCTCTCTCCATGAATTTAGCCAAAGAGGCCTGGGTCTCCCTGTGTGGCCCTGGCAGGTGCTTGACCATCTGTCCCTTGGTCACCTCCCCTGGGAAGACAGGAGCAGTCCCTCGCCCAGGCTGACACGGCCCAGGGTGAGGAAGGAGGCAGTGCAGCGAGCGGCACCCCACACAAGCACAGGATTCACTGCACTCAGATGTCGGAGCAAACTAGGGAACCACGTTGAGTCTCGGGTCACAATAAGCTCTCAACAGTCATGTTGATTGATTGGAACTTGGTGGTTTTATTTAGTCATGGGATGTAGGAGAGGCAGTTCTTTCTTCAGGGATTTGATTTTCACGAGGATAAAGAAACATGTGGGGACCTGGGTTCCCCTTGTAAGCAGCCCTTTCCTCCAGGACGGGTACTCGGTGTAGGCGGGGCTCTGTTCGGTAGCCAGACTCTGGGCTAGTGAGCCTCGCGGGAGGGCCACTCTCCACATAACCTCCTTGCCCCCCTGCTCTTTCTTCCTGTCCCCTCACCCCCGCATAGAGCTGTGAACTTGTGTGCCAGAAATTTACACAGTGTCTAAATCAATGGTTGGTCAGTAAAATCTTCTGTTATAGAAGAAAGAGTCAGTAGCAGGATTGGGCCAAATTGGAACTTAGGGCAAACGGATGAAAATTACTGCTAACATTCTAATATTATTAGAGAATTATCTCGAGAATTTGGGCGCCCCCTGGAATCTTCGGCTTGAGGAGAAACTTTCTCCCTCACCTCATCCTCACCCAGCTAATATGGTTTCTTCCAGTCTGGGCTCCACTCAACTGGCTTCAACTAGTTCCAGCCAGCACCAACTGGCTACAATTAACTTCAGCCAGCTCCAGGTGGCTCCAACTGGCCTGACCAGATCCAACTAGTCTGCACTGTGTCCAGCCGGATCCAACCAGGCCCAACTAGATCCAACTGGCTCACACTGGATCTAACTGGCTCAACCTAGAGGCAATCAGCCCCGACAGGCTGCCATCAGTTTGAAGCTGGTGTAGCCAGTTCCAAATGACACCAACCAAGTAGACCGGATCCAGTAGGCTCCAACCAGCTATGACCGATTTGAACCTGCTCCATGCTGATTCAACTGGCTCCAGCCAGCTGGAACAGGCTGCGATGGCCTAGAGCCAGCTGGAACCAGTGTATCCTGCTCCACATGGCTCCAGTGGTTGAAGCTGGTTCCAAATGGCTCCAGCTGACCTGAACCCCATCCAACCAGATCGAACAGGCTCCAACTGTATCCAGGGGGCTGTAACTGGCTCAAACCAGCTTAAACCAGATTCCACTGGCTACACCTGGTTATAGCTAGCTGGAACTGGCTAGCACTAGCTTCATCTGGAACCATAGGCTCAAACTGGTACCAACCAGATGCAACCAGCTGGAACTACTGGAACTATCCTGATCCAACTCAAACCAGGCCCACCCTGGCTACAGCTGGCTGGAACTGGGTGTAACCATCTCCAGATGGATCCAACCAGCTCTGAACTTCTCCAACCAGCCCGAACAGGATCCAACTGGCTGCAAATTGGCTGCAAGTAGTTCCATCTTGATCTAACCAGACCTACCAGTTTGGACTGACTTTAACTAGCCCAAAC